CCCCAAAACCCCAAAACCCCAAAACCCCAAAACCCCAAAATTATAATTTAATATAGAATTTTTAGAAGTTTCATAAGGCAATAATGGATCAAGGTATGTGTCAATCCCTCCAACAATGATGAATTGATTAGGAGTCCAATTCAGTATTTATAACTCAAACAGAATCACTCTCATACCCAGCACGGAGGAGGCAGAGAGTATCCTGAACAATGATGATTTGTTGAACAAAACGGATAGTATATTTACCAACTCAGCTGTGAGAAAAAGGATTAGTTATAAGGGAAATCAACAGGAAGACAAATTTATTAACAATCCGACTAAAAAACCTAAAATTAGAAAACAGTTAAACTTCAAAAACCTCAATTCAAAGGTATTACCTATGTGTTATTTTTAGCAACTTCAAAATTTAGAAAGCCTTAAGGCTACTGTGCTTATGGGGAAATCACTTTTAAAATCACCAAGTCGCAATATCCCAAGTAACCTATTGCTTTGACTCTAGAGCGGGGTATTAAGAGCAAAAATAGCTTTAAATAAGCTCCGGAATCATATCCAAAAGATGTCTAGAAAACACCAGTAAGCCCAGCTCATTCTAACCTTCCTACCACAGCCTCCAAAAAACTTCCCTCCAGAATCCTCAGCCCGAGCACCCGCACACAAATATCCTTCCCTTCATGCCTGCGTCTGGAGTAAAACCCACTTATTTCCACTCAAAAATCTCCAAAAAATCGCCGAAACTACATTTTTCACACCAAATCGCCCCTAGAACCCTCAAAAACTAGCCATCAGCGTATAAAATCCCTCTCAAATCCAAGTAACCCCCTCTAACCCCCTTAGAAATCCCTCTCCAAACAGCCTTGCTGAACCTGATCACCCCAAAACACAAATTTCCCCCTAAAACCCCTCTCTCCACCTCCAAGACCCCTGCCAGCCCAGTCATCACGAAGAAAAGTACAAGTTTCTTTACTAGAGAAGCAAACCAGCAGAAGATCTCTAAGGCCACTGAAGGAAATTTCTTATTGAAATAAGGAATTTTTAGGGAAAGTCAAGTGGCAGAAATAGAAGGAAGAGGGAGAATTGGGGGAAGGAGATGTACTTTTCGTATGATTTTAAGCGGAAGGAGGCTAAGAAGTCACTGAGTCAGTATATGTACGTACTGGGGGTTTAGGCTTTAGAAAGGCACAGAAAGATTATATGGATTATGAGAAGCATAGGAAGCAGGATTTTTACTTTTTGGATATATTGACAGATAGTCAGCAGATTGGAGTCAGCGCGATACCTAATATGACTGAGGAAAAATAGGTTAGAATGATCAGAGGGGTATTTATGCTCTATTATTGAGTATATTAAGTCTATTAAGGATCTCAGTAAGAGAAGAAAAACACTTAATTGTCAATATGAGAGTTATGACTCTGCTACGCCTATGATGATAGTTGTCCAATTTCAGGAGTATTTTGATGTTAGCAGATGTCTAGCAGAAATATTAGAATTTATGATAAAATAATGGTGCTGATATTCGTCTTAAAGACAAACATGAACTCACTATTTTTGACTATCTTGCTAAATATTGTAAGTTTTAATATAAAATTTTAGCTACAAATGAGGATGCTATAAAAATTGTAAAGAAAGAAGAGAACAGACTAAGAAAACTTGGCCTTAATGAATCAATCAAAAGCAAAAAAAAATGAATAAAAAAATTTAAAGGATCTGGGTCACAATACCTCTCTGTATCTGGAATCTCCAAGAACTTAATTAATCATCCTCAAAGAGGCAGAGACAGAGCTTTGGCAGATACTTTCATAGACAACATTACTCCCTGGGCAACAGAAGACAATAGAAGAAACGTCTTATCCCCTTGATACCCCTTCAACCCCATTTGTTTCCAACCAAAGCCCCTAGCTTCTGATTCTGCTTCCAAAATCTGCTAAATTCCAGCTCAGACTCTTCGTACAGACTCTTGATTCTCTGCAGTTAATGTTTAAGTCAAGCTGGATTTTCAATATTTTGGATTTAAATTTAAATTTAGTTTTTTGGGAACTATAGGTGTCCATAACTATTTAGATGGCTTTGATAGCAAAAAAATCAACAAAGTAATAATTTTTAAGTTTAAATCATTCGCATTCATCAATATTAGATCTCTTACTACACCTTTTCAACATGTAAAACCTCTATGAGACTTTCAAGACTAGTTCAGCCATCTTAAACTACTCAATCCAATTTTCTCCTCAAGGGGTTTTGGGGTTTTGGGGTTTTGGGGTTTTGGGG